GGTGGGCGCGAGCGGGGGTGGCGTGGGCGTGGGTGGCATGAGGCAGGGGCGGTGTGGGGTGGGGCAGGGGCGGTGTGGGAGGCATGGGGCGTGGGCCGGGGAAAGGGGGGGATGCTACACTTATGCAACCAAGAGAATAGGCATTGGATCAAAGAGAGTTGGGTGCATTAGGTAATAGTGAATAGTTTAGTAAACAACAGCTTGCTGATTTGTTCCTTTTGCAGTGTTTTCCTTTCAAAGTTGAAAAACCGCGGAAAGAAAGGTAAAGAAAATGCAAAGTGAAAGTAACGGCAGATTTTTCATTGAAGGAATTAAATAACAAACTGTGGAACAGCGGTATGTACTAGCACAGATTGTTTCAGCTGATGATATTAGTCTGCAGGCATTGGCAATCAAAATTACTATTGTTATGATAGTTAAAAAACTGATGAGTATGTCTAACAGATAAATTGATTAGCTCTAGTATAAACAAAAATCATAGAAAACGGTCTTACTAAATTCGAGTCACACAACAGATCAACTGAGGTTGGGAGTTGAAGTGGTGCAGTGATCTTACAGCAATTACGGCAACAGTCAACTTACTGCAAACTAATGTTATTGGAACTAAAAACACTTTAGTGTAAAATTACGAAGCATGATTACAGGATAATGGGGACAACCAAGTCATGACATAGAAGATTGACAGATGCAAATCATAGCAACCAAAATCCAGCCGTTGCAGGGTTGCAGGCCATCTAACTGTCAGTAAACTAGGGGAATATCAGCTTTACTAACGACAAAAAGATTGTTTTGTAAACTCAAAAGGTCTGCCAAGCACTAAGAGGATAAGGTTAAAACTCACCCTTGAAACAGTAGTATAGAACAGTTGTCCTGATCCTACAGCAAATGGCAGGTGCCTCCCTGAGTACTTGAAGTTGAATGTAAGAAAAAAGAACCCTCCAATCCAAAATATATTCGCGAGTTTGAGACTAAAAGGCGGAAAACAACAGCGTTTTTCACTGAGACCACCCACTCGTACTCAAATCAAAATTGAAGTGTTGGTGAATGTATGAGAAGTCTGGCAGAGATAGATTCACCGGAAAATTTGAGTTTGTACGACCCCCAATCTAACCCATGAGATTGTAGTTCATTAAAGTTAAATATTTAAATTTCATTTGCTTGTAGATATGTCAATTTTGTTCAGTAGACTTGTAAGAGAGCGAAATTAGCGATCTAACAAACTTCCACATTTAACAAGAATCCCTGCCAAGCGTCCGCGAAAGTGGGGTTGGGGGGCAAAACTCGGTGGGAGGTAAAAAGTGGGGGGAACCCTTAGGGGGGAAACTGTCACTGCCTAGTTTCGTCTGCTATGGGCTATGGTTAGAGTAGGTTGTGGTTTAATGACGTCCATTATGTGTGACTTAATGTAAAATTGGTTGTTTAGAACTCCCTTGACTAAGCAAGAACTGCGAAGGATGATTCTCCCTTGTCCTCTGGAGCACCGCAAACGTCAATGCCCTCTTTAATGAAAGGTTTTTGCCATATACCTACGTGCAATAGAGATGTTTTCTTGAAGAAGGCTGTCTGTAGCTGGCAACGAACAGGTCAGGATTGAGTTTGGAAATAAGTAGATGGTATTATTTCTTTTGGTGTGGAAACGATTTCACCAGGGTCTTCACATTCGATTGCATGCCGTATTGGTGGCTTTAATGATGTGATATTACGTAGGGTTAGTCTCTGAATGTCAAAATCTAGTTATTAATACATTATTGACAGAAAAATTACTTTATTGTAATGATGTACTGTAATTTTGAACCGTCTACTTTTCTAGACATGTTTTAGTGATTTGTATAAAAAAAGCTTGTTCCTGTGCCATAAACTTATTAATAGTTGTTTTTGTTTCCCTCAGGCCACTACTCTTTGTTTTTTGTTTTGGATGACACATAAAAACTCAAGAATTTCACGATGCCCCGGGTAAAAATTTCTAGGCCTCGTTGCCATAAAATTATTTCACTTACTTCAAATCAATCAACTAGTGCAGTTGATACCAATGCCAATAACACAACTTTGCCAAACAATGATTCTTCTGGGGTGTATTATTCTCACCAATTTCCTCCAAATATACTTTTAAATATGAATGATCTGCGAGACACTAGAAGATTCTGTGATGTTGAAATATTATGTGGTGGAAAGCGTATTCAGGTTGGTAGATTCTTCCGTTACGGACTGATATGTCTTATCTGTTTCTTTAGAGCACTGATTATTGTGTACCACATTTTTTATTACAGGCCCACCGAGTAGTGTTGGCTGCTAGCAGCCCATATTTTCTTGCAATGTTCACAGTCGAGTTACTTGAAAAACAGCAGCAGTCTGTTGAAATACATGCCATTGATCCTGAAATACTGGAAGCATTGATCCACTTCATATATTCAGGTACTTACTTCATTGCTTTGAAAATGGGATGATTTCCAATGTTTTATACTAAATTATTTTTGACCTTTAATTTATTTAGGGAAATTAAGAATTGGGCAAGACAATGTTCAAGAGTTAATGATTGCTGCTGATATGTTACAACTGAAGGAAGTTGTTACTGGATGCACAGACTTCCTGAAAAAAGAACTTCACAGTTCAAACTGTATAGGAATCTACAGGTAAATGTTTATTGATTAATTGACAGTTACTGTAATTGATAGGGATTCTAAAATTAATAAAAAAAAAAAATTATTTATCAGATTTGCTGACGGACATAATTGTCTGGAACTAGCAACTTCAGCAGTCGACTTCATTAACAGTCATTTTCCTGAAGTGAGCATTGAAGATGAATTTTATGAATTACCTAAAGATCACCTAGCTCGCTTCCTTGCCTCAGAAGACTTGGTGGTTGATACTGAATTTCAGGTAAGCTTTAAAGTTAATTAATTATGTTCAACCTTGTATACAAAACTCATCTGTAAATGTTGAGTTGCATGCAAATTGGCACAAATGTTTAATTCTTTATCAAAGGTTTTCCAAGCTGCCATTCGATGGATTTTACATGATGTGACACAGAGAAGACAGTATGTATTTGAAATACTGACTCATGTCAGACTACCACTCTTATCAACCTACCTGCTTGAAAGAGTTATTAATGAGTTAACTGATAGCAGCTTAAAGGTAACTAGTTCATCAATATTCTTAATCAATGATTTTTTTAAATTCAGCTGTGTGCTCCTTAATTTTGCTCTTTGCAAAATTTACAGGTTGCTCTGCGATCTGTTCGTAAAGATTTGTTATCTAAGAGAGGCCATCTTGTTTCTCTTGTTGTGCATCCCCGACTGAGAGCAAAGAAAGATGTTTTTGTTATTGGTGGTTCAAAAAGAGAACTTGTGAGTGCATGGACTAGATCATCTGAATGCACATTTTCTTCTGTGGAAAGATTTAATACATTTACTCAGTAAGGGAATAATATCTCTTGTTATTTGAAAAGGTTTCTTCATGGTCTGTCAGTTATCTTTTCAATATGTTTTTCCTATTTAACCAGAGAGTGGGTTCAATCTACTCCCATGGCAATTGGACGAATATTGCCAGGTGTTGCTGTGCTGAATTCAAAAATCTTTGTTGTTGGGGGAGAGCAAGAATCTCAGATATTAGCTAATGGTGAATGGTATGATACACAAGCAGACACGTGGAATAAGGTACAGTAAAATGCAATAAGTTAATTTTCTTTACAAAAATATTACTAAAACTTAACATTATACGTTTGTTTGATATTCCTCTTCAATATTTTCAGATGGCTTGCATGGTGGTCCCAAGATGTGAGTTTGGTCTGTGTGCTCTTAATGGCTACCTGTATGCCGTTGGTGGCTGGGTTGGAGAAGATATTGGTGGATCAATTGAACGATACGATCCACATACTGATGAGTGGCATTTAACAGGAGAGCTCCCTGAACCACGTTTCAGCATGGGTGTTGTATCATACGAAGGTAAGAATAGTCTAATCTCATGAAAACAGTGTACAAAAATGAGAACTCATTCAACTTTACTTGTAATAAGGATAAGTTTTTATAGTACTTAATAAATTTGGAAAAAGAAACTACCCAAAAAACATGCAATTAAAAACGCAAAACTTTGTCTCTAATAGGTTTGATTTACATGGTTGGGGGTTGTACTCATGCGCGCCGTCACCTCCAAGACTTGGTAAGTTTTGACCCTGTCAGTGGAGAGTGGCGCACTTTAAAACCAATGCTTGTGCCTCGAAGTCAAATGGGTGTGGCTGTCTTGGATGGCTACCTTTATGTGGTGGGTGGCAACAATAGACATCACGAAGCCTTACAGTCTGTTGAGCGGTATTCATTTGCTGAGGTATGTGTGAATTTGTCATTTCTAAAATTTACTTTTTGAAATTGGTTGGTTAACATAACAGAATTATTTTCTCTCTCTTAGAATGAATGGACTAAAGTTCCTCATATGCACGTTGGAAGAGCAAGTCCTGCAGTTGCTGCAGCTGATGGTGTTTTATATGTGATTGGGGGTGATGAAACACATGAAGTTAACTTCTATAGAGCCCAAATAACTATTTCAAGTGTTGAATGTTACGATCCTCAGATTAATAAGTGGCGAGAGTGTCCATCACTTCCAGAGAGTCGCAGTGAAGCTGGTGCAGTGGTTGTTTGAATTTGTCTCTAAACTTAAGGCTGTTTCTTGGACGTCTCTCAGAGTTCCTTTATATTTTCCATCTATCACTCATACATTTCATGATCCTACAGATGTCTGGTGCCTGTCACAAAAGCACAGATGCCGTTTGAACTGATTCTTTTCAGTATTGTTTTTTGTTCTTATGTAAAATATCTATAAATTCACAGTAGCATGAGACTAAGTGATTTTTGTGGGCCCCTTTGTTTTATTTTAGCTTTGGAAGTAACAATGTGATGATATTGAAATAGATCTGTCCAGATCTATGTTTTTTCTTATACAATTCCCACTTAACAAACTGTATTCCCTGGACTGAATATCTTCAAAATTAGAAGAAGATTTACAATCTTCTGAGCACAAAGCAATAGCAGATGATTGCTTCTCATTATTTGAGACTGAATCACGTCTACATGTCTCCTTAATAACCAAATAATTGACTGATAAACTAATATTCTCAATATTTTGCTTCCACTATATGTGGATATTCTTTTCAAATCAAGCAAAGGTGCGCTCTATCTTTATCTTGCAACCTAAGAACTGCTCAGTGTAGAATGTACTTTGGAAATTCACAACAATTCTGCACAAGTGTTATTTTTAAATTTTGCTCACATCCCATTTATTATATTGTCACCTCATTCCCATTGTTTTGTTTTTTTAATATTCTGTTTTAATTTTTATCTAAAAGAATTACATTTTTATTTGATTTGTGGAAAGCCCTAAGGAAGAAGTAGAGTAGCACTTATCAGAACTTTTTACTTTTTTTTCTTCTACCAATGGGATAAGCAAATGCTACAACTGGAAGCAAAGATAATTTTAGGTAGGATACATGAACCACATCTAAGAAGCATGTTTTTGAATCATCAAGTTTTTTCTCTGGCTTTGCATTCCAATCTACAGTCCATAAACTTTTTGATTTCTTGTAATTACCTTTATAACTCATGTCCTATTTACATTTTAAAAAGTCTGCATTATATCAGGAACATATGGACGAACTAAGGTTATCAAGGTTTCTTTCTGTTTGTTTTTTCTAAGAATAATCTACTGTAGAATTTTTTACTCTATTATATGAAAATTCAGTGGAAGTGTGTGCACTTCATCTAGTCAGTTGAAATTATGTTCAGATATTTCTGTTTTCAGTAAAGACAGAATGTTATGAGAATGAGGCTCGTATTTTATTCCACCAGCTGGGCTTCTGATGTCAAATGGTTTCCCTCTCATTCAGAATTGAATGTATGTGTATTTCGAGGTGTATGTAGTGAGTTTGTGTCCATATGTAATTATAATGCTTCACTTGGTCAAATTTTGTGCCCTATTTTAGTATTAATGTGTATGTTACTGTTACTGCAGGGAACAAACAAATACAAATATGCACCATCATATTTATGCAATTTTCCTCTAAGTTTTTCTGTCATCGATATCTGGAAGAGTGGAAGTGCTGTTCAGTTCTCATCTTCAGTCTGGATTTAATGAAAATAGTTTTGATGGGATCTTAATCCCAAGCTCTGATATAATTTTTAGTGTTTATTAGTGTTCTATGAAATGTAGCACAATTATCTACATGAGTCATTATATCTTATTATAAGTATTTACTCATAATCCAAGCATTAACTGGTGATGTAATTTAGAGTAAAACTGCACTTTGCTTGCTTTTTTCACAACTGAGTTTTGTTTATTCTTTTATATATCAGCTTACTCATGTGAATGCATTTTCCAAGTGATGGTTGGCTGTTGCATGTGATTGTTATACTTGTTAATGATTGTTGCCTAATTAAACTCCATGTTTGTAAAATTGGCACTAAATTTTGGTCGACGGTGGGATGACTTTTTATGAGGAAAGTTTTATCTTATTATCTATTATTTCTTAATTTACTTCACTTACACTGTGTTTGTAGTGTCTTACTTTAATGCGGTATTTGAGGCATTTTGCTGAAGGTATTGTTTTAAGTACCCTTAATCCTGATTTTGTTGTACTTTTATGAATAGGACCTTTGTGTAATTTTTTTGTGCTTACATAGATGTGTCAGCATGTATGGTGTGTCAGGGCCACCACACAACATTGCGGGTTTGCATACCCTAGGGGCCCTAGCGCCTTATGGGTGCAGCGAGTAGGCAAACCCGTCTACTGCTGTTTCGTAGCCCTGACACGCAGTATGTACATGTATGCCCACATGACCTTGGCAACTAACAAAATATGATTTAAACACTACTAGTGGCTTCATCATATAGTCTAGGTGGTGCCTGGGAAACAAAAGCTTGGCAAGTTAATGGAGTGTTAATGGTTCTAAAATCCAATCAGGGCAATAGACCTGCACACAAAATCAAAATGTCTCTGCTATCCTCTCATATATTTAGCAGTTTGTTTTATCTATTTACAGGTCTGTGCTCTGGTCTGGTTTACATCCACAATGTGCTGAACAAAGTCATTTGCGTGTCACCTCTTATGTACATATTCATTTGAACACCATCCAATGATCTAAATTAAAGTCTGTTTATTATGTTTTGGGTTTCAAATTATGCTCAAAATGTGGATTAGAAGATAACTCCTGCAAAATTACTACTTCTTGTTTGTTTTCAATATTCTGTGATACAAAATATTCTCTCCCAATACATCACTACTTATTTAAAAATTTGTGTCTCTTTGTTTTGATTTTTCTACAACTCTGCACAAATCTCTGGCTTTATCAACTTTTTCCCTATTTACATTGCAATGTAAAATTTTTCTCTATTTGAAACCAAAAGCCAACAAACTGTCTACATTGGTCATTATTTTAAGACAAAGAAGAAACAGGCTCACCCTGAACGAAGGAATGTTATCATTTAATAAATCAACTAGATTGACTGAAAATTAACTAACTGCAACTACACTATATATTGAAAGGATGGTAGTGAACGATTCAACCTATCATTTGAATGAAATACACTTGTGAATTTTCAATAGAATTGTCTCATTTCTTACTACTTTTAGGCGTGCCAGCTGCCGTGCCTATGAACTTTTGTCACCTAAATCGACGAATTGTCGACTTCCACGTCGATTCGACGTCGTTTCGAGTTTGAATTTCAGGCTGGGGCTCCCGCCGCGCCTGCATGGGCCGCACCCCGCAGCACACGTGGATCCAATATGTTGCCTATGCGCCAGGGCGCCAATGCCCCTTATTTTCTCGATGGGGCACACTGCAGACTCAGCAGGGGAGCCGAGGTTCGTACCTTGGTTCTTCTGACAGTCAAGATAGGTAAATTTGATGACAAGTGACCTCAAATTTCTGTCATTTGGGCACACACATGAGGGAGGGAAGCCCCGATCCTAGCGGGGTAATTACTTCTGGCTCGTTCTCGAAACGCATTTGCAAGATCTGGGAAGGACTCTAAATGTTTTGAATTTGAAAGTGTTCAGAAATCAACAAAAACAATAAGATTGACAAGATTGTTCATGAAACCTCTTTCCTTGCATTACCAAGCCAACCGACAACCGACGCGGAATTCGGTGGGCTGCATAACATCAAAGTCACTATCCGCACCAGACTCGCTGTTGGGGCGCATAACGTACCACATGGTATTCGCACCACCGCTTCCATTTTCACAAACCACAAACAGTACACATTCATAATAAAACAATAATTATAATGATCTGATCTTGCAGAATTATGATCAAACTGGCAAATATGAGGTTGAAATTCGCCTGTTGTTCTTTGGTTTTGCTGTTCTGCTGTTCTGCTATCTGCCTTGAGTAGAGCCTAAAGGCGGTAATGTTGGTGAAATTGTAATATTTTTATCCTCGCAGTTCCTGCCCGAAGAGTGTCAGAGGAAGTCCGTCGATTCGTCGATTGGAGGATTTGCCACTTTTCCTTGTAATTTTTCGTTTTTCCTGTGAGCACAGTGCGTTTAAGCTGTGTGTTCGCAAATCATTTTTGCATAATGTATTTCTCCACTTTAATTCCTTGTGTCAATTTTCCACCTTTTGAATCATGTCAATTTGTAAAACATTAGTTGTCACTTAAAGTCTGTTGTTATAGTTCAGTGTTTAGGTTAGTGAGTCCCCAAATAATCTATTTTGCCGTTAATGCACTTGGTTTACGAACCTGTAATATCAACAAAAATGTGTGAGTCCGGTGAGCCAAACAACGCAATTATTGTCGACACGATAGGAGATGAATCAGGTAAATTTTCAAAGCTCTCATTCAAATCAATCTTCCTAGGTGTGGCTCTTGGTTTTTGTTATCCAATCTGGTTAAAAACAACCTCTATGATATGGGGTAAATTTTATTCCCTCTGTCCTCTTTCGTCTCTTAGGTGATCACAGTGACATACTTCAGCAGCTGCAGAGTAAAATAAGTGAACTGGAAACAGAAAAAAAAGAATTTGGATCTCAACGTGCTAAAATGAGGACCCTAATTCTTCAAAATGAAGGTACTTCTATTTTTGGGATACATCTCTTTTTACATATCTTTCTATTTTTCTTTATTCCTTATCTTTTATAAATGTAGCCATTGTACTCTAGTGAACAAATGTCTCCTTATTCTGTTCAGCCGAGAAGGTGCGCTTACACTCTGAAGTGGAAGAACTCAGACGACAACTGGCTGTAACTGATTTAAACTCAAAAAATTATTTAGAAGAAGAAAAACGCAAGTGTTTTGAACAAATAGCCAGCTTAGAGCGACTGTTACATGGTATGGTCAGCCAATGCAACATATCCAAGTTTTAATTTTCAATCTTCATTTCAATAATGAAGCTTTTTCATGGGTTTGTGTTGCAGAAACTGTTGATGAGTCTACTGATTCACAGAATCGCATGGAGCTTGAGCTGAAACATCTTCAAGCATGTAATGAAAGGCTTGAATTGGAATTAGCAGAATTTCGAAAAGCGCCGATGGCGGCTAATGAAGAGCGTCATCAAGAACGAGACAGATCAGATCCTCCTCCCATTCAAATCTTTACTCAAGCCACTAAAACATTTGCAAGGAAGGTGTTGAGTGAATTGGGGGCTGACTCCTCATCCACCTCTGGCAAAGATAGTCTTGAAGATAGTATGAGAAAGGTAAACAAATATGTACGTATCAAGTAAGAATTCATCCCATTTGAAGTTTTGTAGTTTTTGCTGAGCATGGTGTAGTATAGATAAAGATTCTAAAAACAAAAATTGCAATAGAAACTCAGTGTTTAATTGTATGTTTTTGAGTTGAGATCATGGTGAGTGAAAAATAGAAATGGACCTTTCCAGCATATGTAAAATGAACTCTTTTTAGAATCTTTAAACATCCACATTGCAATTTCAGTAGCTTGATAACTCTATTTGGAGAGAACTTGTTGTCCAACAGCTCTCAAAATAGATATATGATATATATGAAGAATATTCCCTTTTTACAGCAAAATGCCTATTCGTAGTTTGAACCAAACTTTCATTCAAACATGGGTTATTATTTTGCAATCTATAAATGTTTTGTATAGGGACTGTAAAGAGTCTTTTTCTGTTGGTTGATGGCTATTCTCTGTTCTGCTTTGTATTCCAATCCTTGCCCTGTCACTTGTCCTATAAAGTTTTAATGATGAATTGTTTTTCTTTCGCATGAACTGAAGGCCCAGGAAGATGCCGAAGTCCTCAGATCCTTAGTAATTCCCTTAGAAGAGGAAATAGAAGCTCTCAAAGAAAAACTCAGAGAAGCTCATGAAGAGCTTCAAAAATACACGGTATGAATCTAATTTGGTGTATTGAACCAACCTAATTGCTACTTGTACTAATGCATGTATATTGTAGGGAATCCAACATGAGAGTGGGTCCAGCAGGAAAGTCAACCACGCTAAGGACATTGTCCCTAATCTGGTCAATGCTGAACAAGAATCCCTCATTATGATGTCTCCGGCTCAAGAAAAGGGGGCTAGCTTGGAGAAGCAAATCACTCCAGAAGGTAAATCATATGATATTTGAAATCCATGAAACATGTTTACATCCATATCAGTTGATTTAGCAGATATTATCAATTTCTATCTTGATTAGGTGAAGCAACTGGGAAAGATCTAGAAGTATTCCTGAGTGGGGGTTCAACTGCAGTACCTCTTTCATTAAACACCTGCAATATGTGTCTGAATTATGAGACTGGGCTTCAAAAGTCACAACAAAGAGTTAAAGAACTTGAGAAAGCTCTAGAAATATCAGAAAAAAATGTCAAGAGAGCTAAAGATGATCTATCACGTGAGCACACATTCCGTCAGGAAATGGAAGTAAAGTGGAATGAGAAAAAAGAGCAGCATAAAATGCAGGTAGATATTAAAACATTAGATGCGGCGGCCGGCAGGGAATGTACCAAAAAGATTCTTTATTTGAGTTTTTTGATAATATCTTGTCAATGGTTTGAGATATCGTTCTTCAACGTTTCAAATTGTGTCTGAATTTTGTTACTATATGACCCAACACCATCGGAGGGATGTCGTAACAAAAATTGGATTTTGTTACGTAAATAAGGTAACAAATACAAATTCTGTAACAAAATTCATTTTTGCAGAAGGAGCCATCGGGGGGGGGGGGGGGGGGGGTCATTTTGTTATGACATTCGGGCACTATAAGAGCTTCCTAACTGGCATTTTTGGATGATTCTCAAACAGTTTTCAAAATATTGTCAAAAAACAAAATTGACAAATCTTATTGGTTCGGGTCCATAGCGGCTGATGCTTTCTACAGCCTAATGTATAACACAGTTTGTGTTGCGTTGGACTCAATCGTTACGTATGTCGAGTCTTCTTTTACATGTTAAGTGAGAACTTCTCTAATTGTTTTGTATTTATATCATAGGTTATAGAGCTTCAGAAAAAAATTACATCTGCAGAAAGTAGTTTGCATGATTTACATCAAACATATACACAAACTTACCAAGATGTAACACAGCAGCTGTCACGCTTGGAACCAGAACGTATTGAGATAAAACGGGAAATGGACAGGTACAATTTTAACTGGCATTAAACCAAAACGTCCAACAATTTATTGTATGTAATGCGTTTATTGTGCTATCTATTCCAATTTACAGGCTTCAGGCTGAAAATGAAAAATTGGTTGGTAAACACGCAGAACATAGTCAGATACTTCAGAACCAGATCATTGATCTTCCAAGCAATGTTGAGGTAAAAGTTACTTGGATGTTTGTCTCATTGAAAGCCTGCCTGTCTTCATTCATACCTGAATTCAAACTGCATGTAGCATGTTTTTAAAAAATATTTGCCCGTTTTGTTTTTTTTATTTTTATATCCAGGCCCTCCAGGTACTATTACTTCAAAGGCATGAAGATCTAATTGCTGCCAAGGTTTGTGCAGAAACTCAGCAAATTGAGGCAGATCTTCTGAGGGAAGAACTACAAATACAGCAAAAACAGAATGCCATTTTAATGTCAGACAATCAACAGTATCAGTAAGAAATTAGAATTTTAAATAAATTCAGAATTCTGGACAATGTTATTGATTTTAAACTAATGTGCAATTTTTAAAATATAGGAAACTGGTCCAGAAAAGTGAGGCTGATAAACAACGTATTCATAATCTTCAAATTGCTGAAAAGCAGGCTTTAGAGAAAATTAAAGATTTGAAACTAAAACTAGACGAAGCTCTTCAAAATCATGTGAGGATTTACCTTTCAATTTCTGTTTTTAATTAATTATATTTGCATGAATTAAATAAGTTTTATATCTATAAATGCTTCATGAACTTACAGACCCAGTTGGAAGAAAAACTTAAAAAGCAACAAAATCGAGTTACATCATTACAACATGATTTGGATACTAGTGAACAGGTCCAAAAAGATTTTGTTCGTCTTTCTCAATCACTTCAAGTACAGTTGGAGAGCTTTCGTCAACCCAATACCCAAGTGCGCTGGCAACATGACGAGGATGTGGATGAATGCCCATCATGCCACAGCTCATTTGGATCATCATCCCGAAAAGTAACTTGCCATACTGTTATAATTCACGTGTTTAACCTTGTGATTTAATTCTGTTGTATATTTCTACCTTACTTATTCTATTTTGATTTCTTATGGAATTTTCATCTTTTGTTTCAGCCACATTGCAGGCACTGTGGTCGCGTTTTCTGTCATAATTGTTTGTCCCACCAAGTTCCAAGTGGTCCTCAACAGCGCTTAAGTCGAGTATGTGATGTGTGTCACACTTTACTTGTGCCCAATACAGCACCATATTTTAGTACTGAACCACCTTCTACCCCAGACTAAACTCTGGGGCAAATTTTTCTAGATTCTTACAAATGGATATTTTAAGTAGGAATAAAATTTAATGAGTCCAATAGTTTGTATTATTGCCCATCTATTGAATATCCCAACTTCTTAATAAATGCCGGGTGGTTTTGTCTTTCTTTTAAATTCTTTATGTCTTCTGCTACTGTGATAAGTTGAGCATTTTGATTTCCATGGCTGAGTACTAGTACTCCAACTAGCTTAGTTGCTTGGGCTTGCATTTCCATTGCGTAATAATTGTGATAATCTAATCTTCATTGACAACTGTACGATTGAAAGACAGACAAAGAGATATTCTGTAAAATTTCAATATTTTTAAGGTGTTGATCTCAAGCTACAGATGCTGTTTATTTATTTGATTCATTTTTATCTCACATGGATTACAGGATTGCTTTGGACCTAAAATTTCAGGCTCAGAATCAACCAATAAAATTTCTTTTGTTTGTTGATGTTGCAATATGCCAGTTTCTGTGGCTTTAGCTGGGTGGAATATTTTTGGTCTTATATAGGTTTGAGTATGAATCAAATCAGGAAGTTGCACGGGTTATTTGATTCATTGTAATGTGATATTATCATTTTAATTTTTAGACTTCCAGTGCTATCTTGAAGTTGTAGACTTTCTACTGTATGTAATACATGGTAAAAGTAACAATTATTTTAGGTACCTGTAAAAGCCTGATGTCTATGGTGTGTCCTAAAATGGAAGGATGTAGTTTATTATTTCTCTGACTTAAAATATATCTAGGAATCATTGAACTACCCTACCGTACATATTTCTTCCATTTAAAAGAGTTACTATCCATTCTTATTGTTTCAAAATTTCTTCTTCTGCTCAAATTACCTCTTTTAGAAAGTAGTAAAAATTGACTCTTTTTATACCAAAGTTAATCTTTGACCATCACCTTTATCACACATACTGATGATGGCTAGGAATCTTCCTACCACTGGTCAGATTACGGCCAGAGTCTAGGTAGGCAGTTTGTTCACTCGCAATGTTTTATTTTATTTGTGATGTATAGCAGCAGCTTGTTTCAATTTTACAATTAACTTTTAGTATCAATGACAATTTTTCTCATTTTCCATAATTCTCAAGTTTGATGATAGTAAAACCTTAAAAAATCAGACATGGAATAAGTTTTGACTCCACAGTAATACACTTAAGTGCTAATTTTTGGACATCCAATAGAGTTCATAATCGGATGCATCCTTTAAGGGTGATGCTGGAAGTCAGATGATGTTGACATTTACTAAATCCAATACCAAATCAATTTTTTGTTGAGATAAAACTCAATGAAAAAGGTTGAGAACCAGTTCATACCATACTTTCATGTTTGCATAAGGAAAATTTCAGTGAATACAAAACAACTGGTTACAAAAACAACACAAATATAGGTTTTATTTATATCCAATAAATAATTTTGTCACATGTTAAAGTTTTTCATTTTTTACTTATATATAACCACTATGTTTGGCTCTCTTTCAATCAACTCCTCCAACTTCTGCGTAGTAAGAGAGTACTGGCAACAGTATTCATCCATGGAAAGAAGGCCATTGAAAGATTGAGGAGCTGTTGATTGAGGATCAGGTTTCTCTACGTTACCCACAGGATACTGGAAAATTGAAATGGATATTTAAATTTTAAAAATTGTTCTAAAATACAGAAAATATTTGACAGGGTTCCTTACCTTGTGGATACGGCAGATAAATCCTTCTAAGAGACCAAACTGAACCAATCTGCGTTCATTAATCCTTAATGTATGAGGACTAAGTCTAATGCAAAGATCTCTGACCGTTGTGCCTCGAGTCATACTACAAAACATGCGGAAAACATCACGCACTGTTGGTGGCTGACGTGGTGACCTAGCAACATATTTGACACAGTCCTCTTGAAGACGCCGGTCTTCTGCAAGCCTTCTTAATTTAGGAGTAGTTGCATAAATATTTGAGTATTGAAAAATATGGATCATGGAAACAACCCCATAGTATCTGAAAACCCAAATGTGAGTCATTACTATTATCTTGCTATTGGTAACTCACAGATCATGTTACAAACGTGTCAGTACACTAAATTTTGCAGGCACGCTTTGACTAAGTTATTTTCCACATCTGCTTCAGCAGCAATTTTGGCCACATGATTAAATCCATCAATGTAAGGTAACACCTAGCAAAAAACAGGAACAAACATATAAATTATGTTTATAACATTAGAAAACTCACACTAAGACCATTTCCTCACCTTTTGAGTAGTTAGATCCCATTGTTCTGCTTGGAACAAGTCTGGACTCTCAGTGAATATGGGCACATGGTGGTCTAAAACTGGAGGTGGATCTTGTAAAATGCGTACAACTTTGAGATGTGTTGTCATAGTTCCCTCTGCAAGACAACACAACAAAAAAGAAAGATACAAAATAAACTATCTATACTAGAAAAACTTGGTAAGTTTTTACACAATAATAAAAATATATGTACCTGTGAGGGTACACATTTTGTGAGAATTTAAATCCTGCATGACCTGGCACAGTATTTTTGGCAAACGAGCATTTTCGACGTTATGATCTTGCTGACTTGAGAGAAATTTACTCTCAACCTCCATTGCAACCTAGTGATGGAAAATTTCATTTAAAATAATTTTCTTCTAAAAAGTGTAAGAACACATACACATATTCATACCAAGTAGTCTGACAACTTTCTCACAACACTTTCATATTGAACAGTACGTGCCCACGCATCACAAACAAAACACAGGTTGAAATAATACGCATTTCTTTTATAATTTTTATCATCAATTTTGACAGGGAATCCTAAAATTTTAAAACCCAAGACTGTCCTGTAACAATATTTAAAATTAAGCAAAACCAGTGGAACTTTTTCATCTAATTTAAAAAGCGAGTGAAGTAGATAATAATGATGAACACATACACTGTCAACATGCTACGCTGAAGCTGTGCCTTGGGAATAATGTACACGCTCACTGATTCAAAAGTGTCTTTGGAAATATAATTACTCGGTACCTAGACAAAAAAAAAATTGTTGTGAATTTATACTTTTAACATAAGGTACATCTAATGCATTAATGTCATCGTCAATAGGTTAAAATGGTTTCATTACCTGGCACACAATTTTTGGGCCAGCCTCTGGATGAAATTCACTAAGGAAGATGCATCTGACAGGTCCTTCTCTTCCGCAGCCTTCATAAAACCTATCTTTGTCATTTCCTGCCATGACAAATAAAGCAAAGATAAGTGTTAACATGGACATAAATAAACTAAGGCATACCGAGGAATCATGATGACACCAATTGAAGTACCTTGACATTGAGTCATTTTCTTACAGCATCAACACATCCCATGAAAACGTCAAAAATTAATGCCTTGATCATAAGAATCACAACATCCAGGCAGGAGATCTCTGGAGTCTGGAGTTATAGGATTTTTGTTGATTTTGTTTTCCGCCCCGCCCTCCCCCTCCAACCTTCCGCCCTCGCCCTCCCGCTCCCCGGATGTAGTTTATTATTTCTCTGACTTAAAATATATCTAGGAATCATTGAACTACCCTACCGTACATATTTCTTCCATTTAAAAGAGTTACTATC